CGTCAGCTGCATGGCAAGGCTGAGTGACTCCTGCGTAACTGAGTCACCACCATATTACTCACCAGAAGAACAACTCGACAACAGCACGCCTCGCCGCGAGTCACTTCAACCGAACCCGACGTACGCCGCCATCGCTCAAAGCGAGCTGTCCGGGAAGGATACATGGTTCTTGGACAGTTCCTGCGGACAACATATGTGCTCTTCAGGACGTTTCGTTCAACGCGAGCACCAACTTCAACGAGAAGTCGTCATCACTGTCGCCAATAATCAGAACCTGCGCACACGACGACAAGGAGTAGTGCAACTTCAGTCACGAGAGACGAATGTCATACTGCAAATGTCCAAAGTCCTAATAGCAGAAGGACTTGGCTACAACTTACTGAGCGTCAGTCAGTTGATGGCGAAAGGCATACATCTGGAAGCCGACAGTACCACCCAGGAGTTCAAGCTGTACCACGGGAAGGGCGGCCTCTACATCGGAAAGGCGGTCCTGAAGAACAATGTCTTCGTTCTCGATTTCGTCCCAGACCTGGGCACCGCAGACAGTGACGGGATCGTCACCTTCACATCTTGGACGCACCCGCCGGATCTCAACCCCGACTTCAGTCCGGAAGGCTTTTGGTATTCACATACCATTCCTGAAGCAGAACGAACACGTGCGTTAGTAACAATACAACATTCGGCAGCAGCAGAGACAACATCGGCAGCAACAGAGACAACATCGGCAGCAGCAGAGACAACATCGGCAGCAGCAGAGACAACATCGGCAGCAGCAGAGACAACATCGGCAGCAGCAGAGACAACATCGGCAGCAGCAGAGACATCATCGGCAGCAGCAGAGACATCATCGGCAGTAGCAGGAACAACAACAGTAGCAGCAACAACGACACCACTCCTCGTTGACGAAGCACCACCAACACCCGCACAGCAGTTGAATCCGGCTCAACGGGAAGTCCATAGAAGCGCAAACTTCACCGCCAGCTTCTACTCCAACTCCGACGCGTATCGACGCTCACCCGGACACCGCGCCTCCGAAGACATCTGGCACGCACGCATGGGACACCCAAGCAACACTGTGTTAAACAACACAATAAGAGCAGGAGTCCTTGACAAGGACTCGTTACTACTACTCGACGGCAGAGAACTTCAACGGGCACGAGGAACATGTCTTACCTGCCCCGAAGCCGACTTACCACATCGGCCGTTCACTCCTCATCACAACCCGAGCACACCCGCGTACGCACCACTCGAAAAGGTGTATAGCGACATCCTGTACAATCGGGAACCAGGACAAGTAATATACAACTACACAATCACCTTCATCGACGCTGCCACCCGTTACGTCTGGCATCTAAACCTACCCAGCCGCGACATGGTCCTCGAAGCATTCGCTGCTTGGCTACCAGTAGCAGAAAGAGAGTCGGGCGTAAAGCTGAAAAGCTTCCAGTCTGACGGAGGAGGAGAATACACCTCTCAGCGATTCAAGCAGTACCTGGCGGAAAGGGGAATCAAGCAGCTCCTCTCTCTTCCCTACGCCCATCAGCAGCAAGGTGTAGCAGAAAGAATGAACAGGACTCTGCAGAACAGCATGCGCAAACTGTTGCGTGGCATGCGGCTACCCAACCACCAGTGGCCTGACGCGATGGACCACGCCGTCATGCTGCACAACTTGCTCTCATCTTCATCACTACCGAACAACGCATCACCGCATCTGCTGTGGACAGGAAAACAGGGCAGCACAAAAATGTTACGAGTGTTCGGATGCATGGTACAGTACCGACCCCCAGCAGCACGAGCGGGCCGATTTTCACAACGCGCACAGTGGGGACTACACCTCGGCATCGAAAAGAACTACAACGCGTGGAAAATCTTTGACGTCCACTCCAAGGAAACAGTAGCAGCACGCGACGTCATTTTCTACGAACGACTCACGCTCCAGACATACCTTGCCAACCTGCAAGAGGACCAAGATCCCACAGGTGGTTTTCGTGGTGACCGAGCCTTCGCCTCGGCAGCAGACGAAGCTGACTGGGACGAGCAGAATGTGGCCAACGCATCAGAAGAAGCTGGACCCCTTCCGTTCTGCTCCGTCGACGTCCCCATGGACGAAGATAACCCTCGCGAAAGTGTCAACGCCGAAACCTTCTACTACTTCACCGACAACGGTTACGTAACACCTGCGACAGTCAACACCAACGAAGCAGAACGAGTAGGACCGAATTTCATACCTGATCCAGAAGCGGGAGATGAAGCAGCTTATCCCGAGGATGCAACTCTTCCCCGCTACTCACAGACTGGACTGCAGATTCTCGGACTCGTCACCGCAGTCCACGGCAACACTCTTCCTAAGGAGCCTGCGACGGTTCAGCAGGCTCTAGGGGGGGAACACAGGGAAAAATGGCGTGAAGCCATGGACAGAGAGTTAAAGGCACTGGAGGAACGGAACACCTGGAAAGTTGTCCCCATCAGCGTGGCAAGGAACAAGACCATTCTCACCGGGAAATGGGTCTTCCGCGTTAAAACAAAAGCAGACGGCACAATTGAGAAGTTCAAAGCACGCTGGGTTGTGCGTGGATTCGATCAGGAGCACGGACGGGACTTCACCGAGACATTCGCCCCGGTTAGCCGACATACCTCACTTCGAATCCTCCTCGCGATCGCCGCCATGAAGAAAAGGAAGCTACGGCAAATCGATGTCGCCAACGCGTTCCTCTACGCACCTGTCGACGTGGAAATCTTTGTCGAGCTCCCACACGGTACCAACGGGGAACCTAACCAAGTCTGTCAACTGCTGAAATCACTTTACGGGATCAAGCAAGCTCCGCGGCTACGGCAACAGTACCTACACGCTCGCCTCATTCGCATCGGATTCCGCCAACTACCTCACGACCAAGGAATGTACCGACTCACTAAAGACACCGACTACATTCTGCTGATCGTCTACGTAGACGACCTACTCTACATCGGCTCCACTGACGACATCACCACCTGGTTCGAAGGGGAGCTACAGAGGGACCTCACACTCACGGTCTCCTCTACCGTCACACAGTACCTCGGCTTGAACATTCGGGAAGAAGAAGGCGCGATCTACCTCAACGCCGCTAAGTACGCCGACACCATCGCCAAACGCTTCGCGCTCACACCTACCACCATCTCTACGCCCTACCGCTACGCGACAGGAAACCACAAGGAAGGATCCTCTCTACTCAAATCCGCCGGGATACGCGACTACCAGAGAAAGCTAGGATGCCTTCTCTTCGCAGCTGTCACCTGCCGCCCCGACCTCTCATACTCCGCAAGCCAGCTCGCCACCTACCTCAAGAAGCCTGAAGCAGAACACCTGGCGGAGCTCGACCGCGCTCTCCACTACTTCGTCAGTACCTCAACGATCGGCCTAACTTACTACAAGAACACAACTACACCGACTAAATTAATAGGCTACGTCGACGCTGATCACGCTGGCGACTCCGACAACAGGCGCTCCCGCACCGGCTACATCTACCGCCTCGAACCTATCGGACCGATCTCCTGGCAATCGAGCAAGCAGGAATTAATTGCTCTCTCGTCAGCTGAAGTAGAATATATTGCACTCTGCTCAGCCACCAAGGAAGGACTCTATCTTCGCGAGCTGCTGGAAGAAGCGAAGTTAGCCGAGTTACCCAACTTCACTCTGTTCTGCGACAACCAATCTGCAATTCGCATCGCCAACAAAAATGGATTCGCGAACAGAACGAAGCATATCGCTCTGCGATATTTCTTCGTGAAAGACGAGATTGAGAAGGGGAGACTTGAACTATCCTACTGTCCCACGTCCGAGATGGCAGCTGACTACTTGACCAAGAAGCTCGGAAAACAGAAGTTCGAGTACTGCATGCTGCTGACTGGACAAAGCCACGTCACCAGCAGCGACACTCCAGAAGCGAAGGGGAGTGTTGGGAACAAACAAACTTAAGCGCCTCTGTCGTGTCGAAACACCAAGGCACAAGCGAAGCAGAGCATATCGAGGCACCAGCGAGTCAACCCTCGGAGGTTGAAGTAACCGCTGGAGGTTACGCGAAAGTCAAAGGTCAGCGACCTTTGACTTGACAAATGCAGCGCGACAGCAAGGACACACAACTGACTCGACATTGAGCAGTTGCCCGAGTCGCACTGTATCGAACCGCAACAGTAAAACAGTTTAATTATATCTCTTCGTATTCTTTGTACTCTTATATAAACCTTTGTACTTGCTTGTTTTAATCAACTTACTTTGCCCTCACATACCAGCACAAGGTGGTTCAAGGACTTCATTTAAACGCTTCCGCTACTACATCACTCTACCCAGAGTTTAACCCTGCCAAAGATCCTAAGGGGCACTCAGCCCAACACCAATGACATCAGCAGCTGCAGCCTCAGCAGCAGCGATGGTCCCACCCACTGCAGCCCCCAGCTTGTGCACCGTGGCTGGCGCTGCTGAATCAGGGGCAGCAGCAGCAGCAGCAACAGCTTGGTCAGCAGCAACGGTACCATTGGCAGCAGGAGGGGTGGTTGCAGGCAGCGCAGAAGGTGCGGGTGCAGCAGAGGGTGGAGCAGGTGGGGCGGAGAGTTTGGTGATGAGAGCGATGATGAGTTGGTCCCTGCGCGCTGCTCTCTCGTCCTCTCTTGCTGCCCTCTCCGCCTCCATCTGCACCATACATACACACGCGTGCACACAGTCACGCACATACACACGGACACATGGGCGCACGAGATGGAAGGTTTTGTTGGAAAGAATGGCAGCAGGAGCGAGGAGGCTGCTAAGGGGATTGGTGACCCATATGCAACCCCTAAAACCAACTCTCCCCCCCTAACCCTCCTCCCCCCCCCCCTCTTTTCCCCACCCACCCATCTCTCCCCCCACAAACCCACCTGCCCCTCCCCCCCAACCCACCTGCCGCCACATGGACTCGCGCTGAGCACGATCCCTCTCCAGCGCCTCCAGCCTGCTGCGCCACTCGCCCTCCCTCACCCTCCGCTCCGCCTCACGCCTTTCTATCGCTTCGCGCCACTCCTGCTCCAGGCGCAGCTGCTGCACGAAGAACTGCTCCAGCACCTCCTGCATGCTCCCCGCGCGCTGCCTCTCCAGCACCGCGCGCCTGTCCCCCCCACCGTTCCCCCCCCCCGCCCATGCCATCAAACGCGTCTCCGCCCGCGCTGCCCCCTACGCCAGCGGACGCGCCCTTCCCCATGGCGGGGGAGCCCGCGCCGTAGGCCCCCGTGGCGGCCTTGCGCGCGCCAGCGTTGAAGTCGCGCTTGCGCCTCTTGTTGCGCAGCACGTTTAACTCGCCCTCTAGTTCGTCCTCCCCCTCCTCCTCGTCTTCCTCCTCCTCCTCTTCCTCGTCTCGCGCCCGCCGGCTGAGCAAGCTCCCTCCCACGCCCCCCGCCCCTCCCCGCGCGCCCAACCCGCCGCCGAAGCTTCCGCGCATGCCCAGGGCGCCTCCGACTGCTCCGGCCCCGCCGCCTCCTGCGGAGAATCCGCTGCCGATGCCGCCGCTGGCGCCGATTCCGCCGGGCGTGCCGCCGCCCTCCGCCTGCACGAGCAGGCGGTCCATGTTGCGCGCGCGCTGCTTGAAAATCGCGTCTAGCTCATCGAAGAACGGGCACGAGCGCGAGCCGTCCGCCGAGAGCTCCTTGTTCTGGCGGGGCGCGCGGGGGAGCGCGGGCGCACGGGTGGAACGAGGAGAGGGTCGCGGGAGGAAAATTAGAAGGAGAGGAAGTTTAAAGCGGAAAATAGAAAGCACTAACTCCGTAATGCGGTGGGCGATGCGTGGCGGGCGTTGCGCGGCGGGCGTTGCGCGGCGGGCGTTGCGCGGCGGGTACCTTGTAGCGGTTGACGAGCACTTTCCACTTGCACTTGCACTGGTTGGGCGTGCGGCGGTACCCCTTCTCCTTCATGCGCGACGAGATGGTCTCCCACACGTGGTTGCTCGTGCGCCCCGGCACGAAATCGCGCTCCATCTCGCCGCGCAGCGCGATCAGCTCCTTGGTCTCGTGGAAGCCCCAGTGCGACTGGCGGTCCGCCGCCGACGCCATCAGCGCGTCGTCATACGCGCCCGCCACGCCCAGCGGCCCGTCGTCCGCCATTCCGGGGAGCAGCGGCAGATGATGCGACATGCGCGAACTGGAGACCGGAGCGCGGACGGAAAAAGTAAGCGGCGGAAACTTTTCGCTAAGCGTGGAGAGGCGGCAGGTCTTTGAAAAGCGCGAGTGGGATGGAGGAGCTCGGTGCTACGGTAGTACAGTCTAGTCTAGCGAACACGATCAACGAACCGCGGTGATACCCGCGCTGTGTAAAATTCAAACGAAGCAGTTTTCAAATTGGTGCCTCCCACCCAGGGCGTGTCGAGGATGCGGCGTGGGAGCGAAATTGAGTCTTGAATAGAGTGGAGGAGGTAATTACATGGGAGCCATGGAGCTAGGGTCAGAGGGAGGGTTGGCGGTGATTGCGGGGTTGCGTTTGAAGCGAGGGTTTGGCGATTTGAACAACTGAGTGCGAACAGATCGGGGGAGAAATGTCGTGGAGTGGTTCTTTCTGTCCGAAAGCGGGGTGTGTGGGTGTTGCTTGGGTTGGATTGGGAACAAGGGTTTGAAGGAGAGTGCAGAACAGAGACTGGATGGCAGTTTCGAGATTGTAACGAGGGTGTGGGAACGCTTTAGGCCGTGCTCTGTGGTTCGTTGGCGCAGAAACACTAGTGAGATTACAGGCGTTGCCGAAGTCAATAATCAGGGGATGTCAGGGTTTGATATCACAGTTTGGTACACTGTCATTTCGGTTCCACGATAAAACGATGATTCTTATAGCAATATATTCGTGCGCCACTGAAAGCATAATTGTATTATCCGTTATCAGTGCGTTGCAATAACGAAAGAATTCCCAGCTCCAGGTCTTCGCCATTCTTCGTTACGAGTTTCGTCAAGCCTCACCGACCCACCAACCTCACTTTGCAGGCGCAGGTCACCGAGAAATATCCCCCAGCGCATGACAGCGCATTCACCAGCTGGTATGCGCCAGCAGCTGCATCATCTCATCACACAGACGCGACTCACAACTCCACACATATGAAGACATCGTAGATTATTTACCGAAGGCGAAGAGCGAGAAGGATACCGCCGTTTCTGCCGTCGCTTGATATCCCCCGGAAAGGCCGTCATGATTTCAATATGTTGATGCAGATTCTAATTTCCGCGTTTCCGGGCGATCTACAAGGCTCACAACTAGGACGAGCCGATTCGCTGTTCTCATTATAAGCTCTCGATTTTCCGTAATTGCTCTGGTGATTGCCCGCCATGCTGCAGAATGGAGCCGCTTAGTGCTTTGCACGAAGTATCGCACCGAGCGTCGCAAAGAGCGTCGCACACAGCATCTCACAGAGCGCTGCACAGAGCATTGCGTAGTTAGCTCGTCACGGCCCGCGTTGGAAGCTCTTACCCTCGCTCTGCCAAATTCGCGCCAGGTATCGCAGAACAGCAGGTCGCACAGCAGCTCGTCGCACAGCAGCTCGTCGCACAGCGTTCGTCTCACAGCAACATGGGGAGCAAAAGTCACAACTTGCCGAGTCTAACACCCAGGTACGACACCCGAATGCTCCTTGCGCCTGCGCCGTAACCCCTCGCCGCGCAGCTTGCCCCCGCACATGCCGCCAGTGAGTCAAACGCGCTCACCACTCCATCTCGCCGCGTCGCATGCAGATCGCACGCGGCGGCTGACGTGGAGGAAGGCGCGCAGCAGGCGGACCTCCGCTCGCCGCTCCTCTCCGTTGGCGGAAGCGCGGGACCAAAAGAGCGCCACCACCACCACAGCAACAGCATAGGCGGCGGCGCGGGCCCTTCCCCCGGCGGCGGCGGAAGCTCCGCGTCGGAGGGGAAGCTCGCGAGCTTCTTCCGCGCGGACTCCGCGTCTGAGCGCAAGCGCGACGACAACTGGGCGGTGGGCGCGAGCGGCGGCGGGCGGCGGTCGCGGCGGTTCCAGGTGGCGGGGAGCGCGCTGGTGTCGGGCATGTGCTACTGCGCGTCGTCGTGCTCCATGATCCTGCTCAACAAAGTCGTGCTGTCTGGTTACCACTGGGACGCGCAAATTTCGCTCATGCTCTACCAGGCACGCCCCACCACCCCTCCCTCCCGCCCTCCCCCCCTCCCTCCCTCCCTCCCTCTCGCCCTCCCCCCCTCCCTCCCTCCCTCCCTCCCGCCCTCCCCCTCTTCCTCCCTCCCTCCTCCCTCCCTCCCTCCCTCCCTCCCTCCCTCCCTCCCTCCCTCCCTCCCTCCCTCCCTCCCTCCCTCCCTCCCTCCCTCCCTCCCTCCCTCCCTCCCTCCCTCCCTCCTCCCTCCCTCCCTCCCTCCCTCCCTCCCTCCTCCCTCCCTCCCTCCCTCCCTCCCTCCCTCCCTCCCTCCCTCCCTCCCTCCCTCCCTCCCTCCCTCCCTCCCTCCCTCCCTCCCTCCCTCCCTCCCTCCCTCCCTCCCTCCCTCCCTCCTCCCTCCCTCCCTCCCTCCCTCCTCCCTCCCTCCCTCCCTCCCTCCCTCCCTCCCTCCCTCCCTCCCTCCCTCCCTCCCTCCCTCCCTCCCTCCCTCCTCCCTCCCTCCCTCCCTCCCTCCCTCCCTCCTCCCTCCCTCCCTCGCTCCCTCCCTCCCTCCCCCCCCCTCCCTCCCTCCCTCCCTCCCTCCCTCCCTCCCTCCCTCCCTCCCTCCCTCTCTCCTCCCTCCCTCCCTCCCTCCCTCCCTCCCTCCCTCCCTCCCTCCCTCCCTCCCTCCCTCCCTCCCTCCCCCCTCCCTCCCTCCCTCCCTCCCTCCCTCCCTCCCTCCCTCCCTCCCTCCCTCCCTCCCTCCCTCCCTCCCTCCCTCCCTCCCTCCCTCCTCCCTCCCTCCCCCCTCCCTCCCTCCCTCCCTCCCTCCCTCCCTCTTTGCCTCCCCTACTTGCCCCTTCCGTGTCCCCTCTCCCTCCTTCCCGCCCTTCCTTTCTGCCTGTCTGCCTGCCTGCCCACCTGCCCTATTCACCTTTGTAGTTGCACCTCCCGGTCGTTCCATCTCTCCCACCCTTCTTTCTTCCTACCTCACTGTCCCCTTCCTATAACATGCTCCCCCCCGCACGCCCTGCCGCCCAGCACCCTGCATCAGGCTACGTCCACTCTCGTACGCCGCTCCCTGCCGTCTCCTCCTCTACTAACCTACTCTGCCAATCCCACGCTCACATGTCCCCCGTGCGTGCACAGAGTCTGGTGAGCGTGACGGTGGTGCTGGTGCTCGTGTATATGGGCGTCATCGCCTGTTTGCCCGCCCTTCCCCTCCCCCTCGGTCCTCCCACCCGTGCGCGCATTGCAGAACCTGGTGAGCGTGACGGTGGTGCTGGTGCTCGTGTACATGGGCGTCATTGCCACGGAGCCCCTCACGCTGCGACTCATGACCGTGTGGTTACCAGTCAACCTCATCTTCGTTGGCATGCTCGTCACCTCCTTCTTCAGGTGCCCTCCCTGTTCCGTTAGCTGTTCTGTCTGCCTGATTCTTCATGCCCTCTCAGTTCAGTTTTCTGACTGCTGCTGAGCGTCTGATACTCTCACTTGCTCCACTGCTCCATTCAACGTCTCATGTATTTCCCCCTCAACACACGAGCGCATCAACCTTCCTACACTATTCCCCCTCCCTTTCCCCCCCCCCCCCCGCCATTCCCATTCCTTCTTCTCCTCCCCCCTCACCCCCCCCAGCCTGCAGTACATGCAGGTGGCGATGGTGAAGAACATGACGAACCTCATCCCTTCCCCCTCCGTGCCCCTCCCCGCCCATCCCATCCCCCGTTCCCCTTTCCCCCCCTCCCCACCCTCCCCAGCCTGCAGTACATGCAGGTGGCCATGGTAACCATATTAAAGAACGTGACGAACCTGATAACGGCGGTGGGCGAGATGTACCTCTTCCGCAAGCGCCACTCCTCCAAAGTCTGGGGCTCGCTCTTCCTCATGGTAGGCTCGCTCTTCCTCATGGTAGGCTCGCTCTTCCTCATGGTAGGCTCGCTCTTCCTCATGGTGTGTACCCCCCCTCTTCCTCATCGTACGCTCGCTCTTTCCCCCCTTCCCACGGCACGCCTCTCTCTCAAACAGTCCCTTTCTCTCACGGGCCCTTATTGCACCCTCATGCCGTGCCATGCGTGCAGCCACCATCGCCTCTAACCACACCCCCTCTATCCGCATGGCCTGGCATGCCACATCTTCACTCCGCCGTGCCGCATGGCTCCACCCTCTGTCACGCCCCTCCTCATCCTCAACCTGCGTCATACACATACCACGCCTGCATGTCTCACCATCGCGTTGCAGCGTTCCCGAGCCCCTTCTTTCTTCCCCCCCTGCGCCCTGTGCTCCCCATGCCGCCTGTGTGCCTCTCTGCTCCCCATGTCTCCCGGTGCCACGTGGCAGATCCTATCGGCCTTCTGTGGCGGCTTCACGGACCTGGCCTTCCATCCAGTGGGCTACACGTGGCAGATCTTCAACTGCTTCTTCACCGCCGCGTACTCGGTATGCCGCAACCCGTTACTGTGCTGAACCCTCCACTGTGCTGTGCCATATGCACTGCCCTTCCACGCAGTATGCCACTGCCACAAGCACGTCACTGCCACAAGCACGTCACTGCCCACCTCTCCACTGTGCCTTGCCATACGCACTTCCCTGCCACGCTCAATGCCCAAGCGTGGGCAGATAGGCCCTCACAGCTATCAGTCAGTCAGCACAGCCCTTTCCATCCGATTGCCCCGCTCTCTCTCCCCTCCCCTCCCCCCCCTCCCACCTCCTCTCTCCCAGCTAACCCTGGGCAGGGTGATGGACAGCGCCAAGGCCTCGACCAAGAGTGGGCAGCTATCGGAGTTCACAATGGTGCTGTTTCTCTTCCCCTCATGCCCTTCGCTTCTCTCCCTGGCTGCCCTTCCCCTCCTCTAACCAGCTAACCCTGGGCAGGGTGATGGACAGCGCCAAGGCCTCGACCAAGAGTGGGCAGCTATCGGAGTTCACAATGGTGCTGTTTCTCTTCCCCTCATGCCCTTCGCTTCTCTCCCTGGCTGCCCTTCCCCTCCTCTAACCAGCTAACCCTGGGCAGGGTGATGGACAGTGCCAAGGCGGCGACCAAGAGCGGGCAGCTGTCGGAGTTCACAATGGTGCTGCTCAACAATGCGCTCTCCTTCCCTCTTGCCCGCTTTCCCTTCCCTATCTTCCCTCTCCCCCCATCCCCTTGCCAAACAAGCAGCGCAAGGTGACGTGAGGGACAGGGTGGCGCTAAGACACTTCAAACCTCCTTCCCTGCTTCCCTCCCCTCTCCCCCATCAACAGCTAACCCTGCGCAAGGTGATGGACAGTGCGAAAGCTGCGACCAAGAGCGGGCAGCTGTCGGAGTTCACGATGGTGCTGCTCAACAACGCGCTCTCCTTCCCTCCCGCCATCCTCCTCATCATCGCCTTCAGCGAAACCAAATACCTCCTGCACTCGTGAGTTGCCTACTTCCTCATTCTTAGGGTTAAAACGGTGAGTGAGCACTCATAAGTGAGTCATGACTCATGTCACATTGTCACCCATGGTAGGCAGCAGACATCACTCCCTCTTTCCCTCACACCCACGCCGTCTGCAACTCTGTCCTCATCTCATATCGCCTTGCTTATTTGATCACGCCTACTTGCTGTCTGGCCCCTTCCGCACCTCCTCTCACAACAAGCAGTCCGCTGATGCTGAACGGGGGCTTCTGGGTGGCGGTGACGCTGAGCGGGCTGCTGGGGCTCGCCATCTCCTTCACGTCCATGTGGTTCCTGCACCAGACCTCGCCCACCACCTACAGGTGGGTACCATGAGCGCAGCAGCGCAGCATCACAGCAGCACAGCAGCACAGCATGTACCGTACAGCTTGCTACAGCTACCACCAACCACCTCCATGTGGTTCCTGCACCAGACCTCGCCCACCACCTACAGGTGGGTACCATGAGCGCAGCAGCGCAGCATCACAGCAGCACAGCAGCACAGCATGTACCGTACAGCTTGCTACAGCTACCACCAACCACCTCCATGTGGTTCCTGCACCAGACCTCGCCCACCACCTACAGGTGGGTACCATGAGCGCAGCAGCGCAGCATCACAGCAGCACAGCAGCACAGCATGTACCGTACAGCTTGCTACAGCTACCACCAACCATGTCCATGTGGTTCCTGCACCAGACCTCGCCCACCACCTACAGGTGGGTACCATGAGCGCAGCAGCGCAGCATCACAGCAGCACAGCAGCACAGCATGTACCGTACAGCTTGCTACAGCTACCACCAACCACGTCCATGTGGTTCCTGCACCAGACCTCGCCCACCACCTACAGGTGGGTACCATGAGCGCAGCAGCGCAGCATCACAGCAGCACAGCAGCACAGCATGTACCGTACAGCTTGCTACAGCTACCACCAACCACCTCCATGTGGTTCCTGCACCAGACCTCGCCCACCACCTACAGGTGGGTACCATGAGCGCAGCAGCGCAGCATCACAGCAGCACAGCAGCACAGCATGTACCATACAGCTTGCTACAGCTACCACCAACCACCTCCATGTGGTTCCTGCACCAGACCTCGCCCACCACCTACAGGTGGGTACCATGAGCGCAGCAGCGCAGCATCACAGCAGCACAGCAGCACAGCATGTACCGTACAGCTTGCTACAGCTACCACCAACCACCTCCATGTGGTTCCTGCACCAGACCTCGCCCACCACCTACAGGTATTTATCATTGGCAGAGCAATGTACTGTATAGATTGCTACAGGTGCAAAGTTTCTCAACCCTTTCCTCCCAGATCCTGCATCCACCCACGCTGCGCCCCACAAACCTCTGTCCCCTCATTTCAAACCCGTGTCCCCACCACCCCTCTATCCCCCTCCTGGCCATCTGGTGGGGTCTCTAAACAAGGTATTGAGGCGCCTCAACAGTAGTCTCTTCAAACCTGTGTCCCCACCATCCTTCTATCACCCCGCTACCCCTCCCCCAATGCGGAGCAGTCTGGTGGGGTCGCTGAACAAGATCCCGCTCTCTCTCTTCGGCATCATTCTCTTCAACGCCCCCACCAACCCACCTACCCTGTGCCGCGCAAACGTCTGTCCCTTACATCTCCATGTCTATTCCAACGCATGTCCCCATCATACCCTCTGGCAGTCTGGTGGGGTCGCTGAACAAGATCCCGCTCTCGCTCTTCGGCATCATTCTCTTCAATGCGCCCACCAACGCTGCCAACATCTCCTCCATCCTCTTCGGTGCGTGCCCCACTCCCACTGCACTCTCACTCCCCTCTCCATCCCCCTCTCTGTCCTCTTCAGTGCATCCACACCCCCCCCCCCCCCCCCCCCTTCTTCGGTGCGTGCCGCACTTGGCCTGCACCCTATTTGCTATCTCCACTGAGCCACTCCCCCTCACGGAGTAAAAAGGCTGGACTACTAGCCACTTCCCGCACAGAGTAACCATCTTGCCGTTCTTTTTTCACAATAAAGCACTGCACCCTGCTAGTTGCACTTCAAACAACCCAGCACCCCTCTCTGATTCCTTCTTCACATCACCCTGTATCATCTCACCCACCCCACCACCTGCTCCCTTCTCCTCTCTCTCCTTCCGCAGGGTGCTTTGCAGGAGTGCTGTTCGCACGGGCAAAGATGCTTGGCTGATGCACCACCACCACCACCACCACCACCACCACCGCCGCCGCCGCTGCCGCCGCCGCCACCACCACCACCACCACATCACCTGCCACCCTGTAACACAGTTGCTGTTCTGCTTCATCCCCGTTAGAGAAAGCATTATTGGGGGTACCTGTTTGCCATTATTGCCGAGTGATTGGGTTCCCCTATCTGCAATGTCCATGAGTGCCCTGAAAAACCTGTAACCATATTACCGTAAGAAATGTATGTGATACTGCATCTGCCACAACAAAGATTTTATTGGTGTTACTGTAAAACAGGAAACATACATACAATGTGCTAGCACTACACTCCTTGAAGCATTCCAATGCGCACTAAAACTCTGGATTAGGATTCTAAATATCTCGAGTGTCCATGTGTTACCATGGGTTGCCCTGGATTTCGGGTTTCGTGTTCCCCGTGTTCGTCACTAGGACCAAGTCATCACTTGGACCAAGTCGTCATTTGGACCAAGTGCTCGAATAGGTTAGTAAAGCTTAAATTCCTATAGGAGTAGGGAAAGCATTCAACAACCTGAATGCTATTGCATATTCGAGTGGCTCATGTTCTGTTACGAATAGCAATGAATGAAGATTGCAATGCACTCCCGACCGCAGCTAAAGAAGCATGCAGTATCGAGAACGAATGTGAAGAGTCAGTGTTGACTCGAAACGTCAGACGGTTGAGATGCATCTGGACCGTCGGAGCAGACGGCATCGGGCAGCTGCAGGCAGGAGGATTTTGGCGGGAACAGTTTCGTAACTGTACGCGCCGCACGGTTGGGAATGAATTCGAATAAGGGAATGTACCCCTTAGAGTACATGGCTAGCTAGGTCGATTCGTATTCCCTTGTACTCATATTTATATCGTTGTATTTGCATGTTTTTACTATCTCAAACATTTTACATTCACTCTGCTATTGAGGTCACGGGCCCACCACCACTAGACCTAAGTGTGCGAACCTTCCTGAGGTGATCCTGGCAACGATCATCGTTTGATCGCAACATGGTATGAGAGCGACTGGGGAATCCTTCGCACTGCCACTCTCGAAAATTACGATATTCGGAAAGTGGCGTCCGGCACACGATCGCGTGTAAGAATGGCCGGAGGATCTGGAGGTCAGACGAATCTGACGGCTGAAGCGCAGCCCAACCTGACAGCGACAGGCGAGGAAACGACGACGATCCCTTCCGCCGTCCTCGCACAACTGCTTCAGCGACTCACGAGCTTGGAGCAAGGTCTCCAAACATTGCGGAATGGCGACGCGGGAACTTCATCCCAACCCACTCAACCGGCCTCCAACGGCCAAAACTCCGCCCCGCAAGGCTTCTCCCTTGACACAAATGGCTCAACTCCCAAGACTCCCTGTCCCAGCGATGAAGCAATTCTCTCTGCGCAATCAAGGTTCCTGAGCATATCAAAAATAAAGACAAGTGCGTTCTTTGACGACAGAGACTTCTATACTTGGAGCTTCGAGCTGGAGCTGCTGCTGCAAAACGCGCAGATTTTTCACTACTTCGACGGGAGCTACTCGGGACCTACGGAGGACACTGACGACGCACGAACCAAGTACTACAACGAATCTCTAATGGCGTACGGGGTTCTTCTGCGGAATATGTCGCCGACGGAGCAATTGAGCATTCGCTCATACAAAACCTCGTCTGCTCCAGCCTTGAACGCCTGGCGTCACCTAAACGGTATGTATCAACCAAAAGATTCAGTGTCGTCGAGCCGCCTGCTCCAGCAGTTACTGGAGACAAAGATGGCACCAGGAGAGAAGGCCAATACTTACCTGAATCGCTGTCGGAGCTTACGCGATCAGATCGCGAAACTTGGGAGCACAATCTCTGAGGAGATCTTCTTGAACATCGTGCTCCAAGGGCTCGGCCCAGAGTGTCGGCCTTGCAAGGCGCTTCTCCGACAGCAGGGGGTCATCTCGGAGGCCGCCCTGTGCGCCGCCCTTCTCGTCGAACAACGGGATATGGATCAGCTGCGACCAGCGCCACGACGAGAACAAGAACGGCTCGCCTTCTACGCCAACAACAACGAAGAGCGAAGACCGCAGCGCCTCTACTGCAAAATCTGCAGAAACTTTGGGCATTTGGCGGATCGATGCAAGTACCGATCTCGCCCTCGCCAGACCAATCCGAGCCACTGGTCCGGCCGACAAGACGCACGAGGCGACGTGCGTCCAGCCCAGGGGTATCAACCCCCACCCGCGTGCAACCTGAACCCAACGGATCAGCATCAGCAGCAGCAGCCGTCATCGACTGCCCCAGCCCGCAACGTCATGAGCAACATGGCTATGACGGGCGAATCGCGCCGTCGCTGCGTGCGCTCACCTTCACCTGAGCTAGCACCGCACCCCATCGGCGCGTTCTCCAACAACAACCCGTTCAGTCCGCGCCGCGACTTCACCGATGACGACGACCAGGACTGGAATCTTCCAGTCCCGCAGCTTGAGAGTCCCCCGCACGTACTTGATATGCGGGTGGCGCCACTCGACTGGCTCTCGCGCGAGCAATTTCTGAAGTACGACACCCCGCACATCGTCACGCCGCGACTGGCGCTGCTCGCACGTGACGACGACAAGCGCTACAACACTTGGTACCTGGACAGCTGTTGCGGCCAGCATATGGTATCCAACGCCGTCGCCACCCCCACAGTCACCCACGTCACCGTGGCCAACAACACACGCCTGCGCGCAAGCGCGCAAGGCATTGTCGTGCTCAAGGCACGCGGGAGCCGCACACACATCACACTCAACGATGTGCTGATCGTCCTGAACCTGCGCTTCAACCTGCTTTCCGCCGCACAGCTCATGGACTGCGGCGTCGACCTCAGCACGGACCGTGAGACACGCGACATCCTGCTGCACTACAAATCAAGAAACTTCCCCCGCAGGCAAATCGGACGAGCGCACTCCGAAAATGGAGTGTATGTCTTGGACTTCGACATTCCTGACTGCAGCGGCGACTCGCACGAGTTAATCGATCTCGTGCCACTGCGGTTCGAGCACATCCACCGCAGGGATTGGAAACACCCTGACGGTAGACCGTGGGTGCCGCATCATCCCCACCCACGCGAAACGGCGCTGCACAACCCTGACGCAAACGGCATCTGCAGGGACTGTCACATGCCAACGGCGTCAACTAGCGCCATTGCCGGCCGCGGACTTGCCGCCATCGCCGAAGCTGAGCGGCATGCGCCGCCAGAGGAAGGCATGTCACAACTAGAGCTTGAAGTCACCACGCATGGTGTGTTCGGCACGCCAGAACACCCTCTCATTGGACACCCCTCCCAACACCTGCAAGGAATGCTGCGCGGTACCAGCGTCGGATCCTTTGATGCACATGGCGTGCCGCGACCCTACACCCACGAGAAGTTTTTGGAAATTTACCCTCATCAACGCAACCCATCGAAGAAACTTACCGTGGCGCAGGAAAAAGAACTAACGCGGCGCGAAGCTGAGGAGCTTCGCCAACAAAGCCTCGCCGAAGCACGCGGAACCTTCGCTTGCGGCGCATGGGGAGCCGAAGCGGAAGAAAGTGCCTCCAATGAAGGGGGGTGGGGAAGCGTTGGTGGATGGGGAACGAGTGATACCGGCGGAACCTGGGCCAGCGCAAGCGGGGGATGGGGCGCCGCAACAGGCGCCGGCAATAGCGACTGGGAGACTTTTCGCGAAGAACAAAAGTGGGGAGAGGATGAAGCAAAAGAAACTGAGGCAACACCTGCAGTTGTTCCTCTTGGTCGTCCCCCGCGCCGCACTCCACTCGCACTACCTCCTCCTGACAACCCACCGCGCCGCGATCCATGGGACACCATCGACTGGGGCAACGAGCCGTCAACCCCACGCCGCACTGCCTACGGACCCCCTCCCGAACCGCGCGAACCCACCTTCGTCCCTGGAACCATCCCTGGGACCAACATTCCCCTCTCTGAGATCCGCGACAGAGAATTTTTTGTGCCAATGCTGACTACCGCCAACGATGAAGACGAAGCAGCAGAAGAAGCACCAGCAGCACCTGCCCTCGTACCTGATGAGGATCCCGAAGAAGCCCGCGCACGCTACATGCGTACTTCCTGTTAGAATACTAGCGTGACTTAGGAGCCATGGCTAGTGAGTGTCGAGAGAATTTTGGGTGAGGAAAGTCGAGAAGGAAGAATGAGGGGTTTCACTATAGAAAGTTGGGATACAAATAGCAAACCCTAAATTGGGTTGTACTCACTACAGAGTACCCCACTGCAGGCTAAACAGCAAATACATTCTGACACACCCCCATAGTCAAAGTGGGGTATAATCAGCAGAGCAAGCAGTCATAGTGCAGGTTCACCAGTACAAGCAAAGCTAGAGGCATTCACAAAGGGCAAGTGAGGAGGAGGAGGCTGGACTGTGAGAGGAGAGGAGATAGGAGGCGACGGCTGATGCTGCAGACACACAGGCAACAGGAGCGGCGCGCACTGTGGCTACCGGAGCCGTATCCCCGGACTACAGGAGTAACTGGCTCTGCGGCTAACTCTGAGTGGCAGGAGCAACGGACCCACAGGCGACAGGCGCAGCAGGCTCTCTGAGCTACCAGAAGCAGAGCCCCGGACTACAGGTGCTGCGGACGACAAGACGGCAGCCTCCGCTCAACCTCCCCCAACTGTCCCACCCCCCTTTCACACACCCCTTGCTGCACCCCTAGCTCCACTCCCACGTCACCCCCCTAGCACCACTCCTTCGGCTCCCACACACCCACCCACCTCAGCGGCAGCTGCAGCAGTGGGAGACGGAGGAGGAGGAGGAGGAGCAGGGGGGGGGTCACACACCCGCCACCCCCATACCCGCCACCCCGCAGTTGCACCCACACCCGCCACCCCCATACCCTCCCCCACTGCTGCACCTGCAGCAGGGGATGGAGGAGAAGGGGGAGGGGGGGGGGGCTGGTGCTGCAGATCCCCTCCCCCCCACTGCTGCACCCGCAGCAGGGGGAGGTAGGAGAAGGGAGGGGGGGTGGGGCGGGGGGGGGGCTGGTGCTGCAGATCCCCTCCCCCCCACTGCTGCAACCGCAGTAGGGGGAGGTGGGAGAAGGGGAGGGGGGGAGGGCTGGTGCCGCAGATCCCCTCCCCCCCCACTGCTGCACCCGCAGCAGGGGGGAGGTAGGAGAAGGGGCGGTGCAAGAGCCGCTCGGGCGACAGCAGGTTGGCCACACCCGCCACCCCCATACCCTCCTCCCACTGCTGCACCCGCAGCAGAGAGATGGAGGAGAAGGGGGGGGGGGCGGGGGGGGGGGCTGGTGTTGCAGGTCCCCTCCCCCAACTGCCGCATCCGCAGCAGGGGGATGGCAGATCGCTTCCCCCCCATTGCTGCACCCGCAGCAGGGGGAGGTAGGAGAAGGATGAGGGGGGGAGGAGGGGGGGGGGGGGGGGGGGTCGGTGCTGCAGATCCCCTCCCCCCTTCTGCTGCACCCGCAGCAGGGGGAGGTAGGAGAAGGGTGGGGGGGGGCTGGTGCTGCAGATCCCCTCCTGCCTCCCCCTGAACCTCCAAGCTCCCCCCCCTCTCCCAACACAAGGTGCGGCAGGGAGAGAGAGAGGAGGAGGCGTGGCGGCAGCTGCTGCTGCTGCTGAGGCACATCCGCCACCCCCTCACACCCTCTCCCCGCCATCCCCATGGAGGGGGGGGAGGGGGGGGAGGGGGGGGGAGGGGGGGGAGGGGGGCGGGGGCGGAGCTGCGCTTGCGACTGTAGGGCACGCGGGCAGGAGGAACCCCCTCTTGCCACCCCCTCACCCACCATGTTGCAACAGGGCACCGGGACCACGGTTAGGGGCGGCAGGTCGCGAGGGGCCATGGCTAGGGGCGACGGGGCCATGGCTAGGAATGGGGCCGGGCAGATACGGGGCCGGGTGCTGGGCTAGGGACGGGGCCGGGTGCTGGGCAGGTACGGGGCCGGGCGTTGGGCAGGTACGGGGCCGGGCGCTGGGCAGGTACGGGGCCGGGCGCTGGGCAGGTACGGGGCCGGGCTCTGGGCAGGTACGGGGCCGGGCGTTGGGCAGGTACGGGGCCGGGCGCTGGGCAGGTACGGGGCCGGGGCGCGGGCTAAGTACGGGGCCGGGCGCGGGCGTTATACGGGCCGGACGCGGGCTAGGTACGGGGCCAGGCGCTGGCGACAGACGGGGCCGGGCGCGGGCTAGGTACGGGCCGGGCGCGGGGCTAGGAATGGGACGGTCGGGGGCGAGGTACGGGGCCGGGCGCTGGCGAGGGACTAGGCCGTTCGCGGGGCTAGGTACGGGTCGGGCGCGGGCAAGAGACGGGGCCGGGCGCAGGCGTAAGACATGGCCGGGCGCGGGCTAGGTACGGGCCTGTCGCGGGCTAGGTACGGGCCGGGCGCGGGGCTAGGAACGGGCCGATCGCGGGCTAGGTACGGGCCGGGCGCGGGCGACGGAATCGACGGGGCCAGCGGGGCCGAGGGGCCGAGCTAGGGGCGACGGGGCCAAGGGGCCGAGCCTAGGGGCTAGGGGCGACGCCAAGGAGCGACGGGCCGGGGCCTAGGCTAGCAGGGCATTAGGTGGTGGGCCCATTAATGTGAGGTCCTAGGAACTATTGCTCTGATACCATGCTAGAATACTAGCGTGACTTAGGAGCCATGGCTAGTGAGTGTCGAGAGAATTTTGGGTGAGGAAAGTCGAGAAGGAAGAATGAGGGTTTTCACTATAGAAAGTTGGGATACAAATAGCAAACCCTAAATTGGGTTGTACTCACTACAGAGTACCCCACTGCAGGCTAAACAGCAAATACATTCTGACACTTCCGGCTTTCGCGCTGACGATGCGCTCTGGCATCAGCGTCTCGGACATCCTTCGCGTGCTACAGTGAAGAATTGCATCGACGCAGGAGTCTTCGCTCCTGGGGCGCTGCTACGCCCAGACGGTACTGAAGTGAGGGGCGCAACACACCCGCGCAACTGCACCGTCTACCCCGAAGCTGCACTGAGCCACCAACCGTTCCCGTTGCTCGAGCCAGGGACGAATCGCTACCCCAAGCTGCACAAGGTGTACAACGATTTCCTGAACGTGTGGCACTGCGGAGTCGATGACGAAATGTACACGCTTACCTTCATCGACGCCGGGACACGCTATGTGTGGATCGTGAACGTTGAAATACGCAACAGAGCCTATGAGGTGTTCCGCCTCTGGCTTGCGCACGCACAACGGCAATCCGGGGAGAAGCTGAAAATCTGGCAATCTGACGGCGCAAAGAAATTAAGGAGCAATCAGCTGCAGAGTTACCTCGCGCAAAAGGGGATCGAACACCATATCTCTCTCCCTTACGCACACCAACAACAGGGTGTAGCAGAGAGGACAAACCACACGCTGATGACGAAGGTGCGGGCACTGATGAAGCAGTCAAAACTACCGCGGATCTACTGGACCTACGCGATGCACCACGCCGTGCGGGTACACAACCTGATTTCAACCACCGCCATCACTGGCAACCTGTCACCACATGTCAAATGGACAGGGACTAAGGGGGACACGTCCATGCTCCGCGTGTGGGGGTGCATGGTCCAATACCGCCCGCCAACGTCAACCATCGGCAAATTCGCCAGCCGCGCACGTTGGGGAATTCACCTCGGCATCAGCCACGAGCACAAGGCATGGATCGTGCTGGACCTGCTCAGTCAGAAGACCACCCACGCTCGCGACGTGATTTTCTACGAACGCCTCTTCCTCGACCAGTTCCGCCACAACGAGCAGACGAATGCGAACCGTGTGTACGCAAACAACGGGCACAGCTATGCAACGCCCGAGGATGAAGCTGCGGCAGCAATCCTGGAGCAGGACACCAGGGGCGAATTCACACGGGGAGATCGCAGCAGCGACGAAGACGATGACGACAATTCCCCTGGAGGAGGAATGGGTGGAACAGGCGGAAGCGGCAGTGGCGCAGCACCACCTGAACCAGAGAGCGATGACGAAGATGTGCAGGAAGTCATCCCGCAACGTCGTCACGACATCACCGTCTCAGGATTGCAGCTGCTTGGGCTTCACACCGCAACCTCAAAGGCGCCACGTGTCATCGAGCCGCGAAACTGTTATAGTCACAATAGGCTTGAATGTGCCTAAAACGAAAGATAGAGAGCACAGACGGATTTCTGCACAGCGGCTTCAAATGTTGATAGCGTTCTGCTCACAGCTGCAAATGACTTGATTCAAATTGGATCTGGAGCGTCTTCACGTCGTCTACAATTAGCAATTTAGATTGCACGATTTGATAAAGAATTGACGACACAGCGTCGGTTTGAACGAACGGTACTATGGCAGCCACTATCGTCTTAGAACACAAGATAGGAAGAGTTACGAGTTGGGAATGACTCCCAGCTCCTACAAACCCCAAGAGCCGAGGTACAGTGATGTGGAACAGTGCCACACTGTCCCCAACCACGAAGGGTCTCGAAACTACCCTTCACTAGGGCCTACACCAAGCGAAATGTTACACTACACAAAGTAATGTAACTATCTTCAATATCTTGAGGTGTACCCTTTTGGCAAGCTTCGAAATCACTTGAGGCTTGACACCAAGGCTCGGGCTCTTCATCACAAACTCATCCTTGAGTTCTTGATGGGTCTGCTGCACACACCTGCGACACGCCGAACGTTCGACACAGGACAAAATAGAAACCGCGCGCGAGACACAAACGACCGCGTAACACGCGTCTAGCGATAACTCGCTATTGACTCGACACACACACTCGACATCATGACTCAACATTCACACACAATTATAAGCATGAAATATATATTATCCCATGCCCTCATACCATTCCATACACACACACATTCACGCACACGGACAACAAGCCGAGTGCAAACCGTAGGGTTGCACCAACAGAAACCCGCGCCAAGCTCTCACTGGACCTCACAGCAAAGAATGGCGAGAGGCGATGGACGGAGAAATCAAGGCGCTCGAATCCCGAGACACCTGGGTGTTAGTCGACCGTGCGGCAATCAAAGGTGCAAGATTTCTCTCAGGCAAATGGGTCTTCCGGGTGAAGACCGCAGCGGACGGAACGATCGAGCGCTTCAAGGCGCGCTGGGTGGTACGTGGATACGACCAGAGGCACGGCATCGACTTCGACCAGACGTTCGCCCCAGTCAGCCGCCACACCTCCGTCCGAATCCTGCTCGCCATCGCAGCCGCAAGGCATCTACCTCTCCACCAGATCGACGTAAAGAATGCGTTCCTGTACGCATTAGTAGATGCCATGATTTACGTGGAGCAGCCGCACACATACGGCGAAGGGGATTCGCGCATATGCCAGCTGCGCAAATCCTTGTACGGGATAAAACAGGAACCAAGGCTTTGGCAGCAGTATCTGCACAACATCCTGCTTGAAATCGGGTTCAAGCAGATGCCGCACGATCCAGGAATGTACCGCCGTGATTTCCACGGCGAATACATTCTCCTCACGGTTTATGTTGACGACCTGCTTTACACGGGATCAAGCAACGAGTTGCTCGAGCAGTTCGAGAAAAGCCTGGCGAGGCGCGTCGACATCATGTGCAACCACGAGGTGAAGCAGTTCTTAGGCCTCAACATCTCCTACACACCTGAGGCCATTCATCTCTCAGCGGCTAAGTACACAGAGGAGTTAGGGAAGCGGTTCAACATCTTGCGTGCACCGCTCTCAACTCCTTATCGAACTCCAGGACCGAACCACAAACCTGACAACAAAGCCCTATCCCCTGCTGGAGTTCAGACTTACCAACAGCAGCTTGGATGCCTGCTCTTTGCCTCTGTCACATGCAGGCCTGACCTTTCCTACATCGCAAGTCAGCTGGCCCAGTACTCACGCAAGCCAACGGCTGAAAATCTTCTGGACCTGGAGCGCGCCCTATAGTTCTTCGTTTCAACGCCCAAGATTGGGCTATGCTACTCGACTGCACCAACCCCATCCTTCAACCTGATCGGCTACGTGGACGCCGATCACACATCAGATCCCGACAATCGACGGTCCAGGACTGGCTTCCTGTTCCGACTTGAACCGACGGGACCAATCTCTTGGAACTCGCAAAATCAGGAGCTGGTTGCCTTGTCATCAGCCGAAGCGGAATTCATCGCAGCAACGGCAGCAGTTCGCGAAGGCCTCTACCTACAGGAACTTCTGCAGGAAGCGAAAATCCCAGCTTCGCCCACCTTTCGTCTTCACTGCGACAACTAGAGCGCGATTCACATTGCGAACAAACCTGGTTTCGTCAACCGCACCAAACACATTGCGCTGCAGTACTTCTTCGTGAAGGACGAAGTGGACAAGGGCAAGGTCGATTTGACCTATTGCCCGACCGGTGACATGGCAGCAGATTTTCTCATGAAGCGACTGCCACGCCAGCAGTACCAACACTGCTCCGAAGTTTGGCGGGAACAGTTTTGTAACTGTACGCGCCGCACGGTTGGGAATGAATCTGAATAAGGGAGTGTACCCCTTAGAGTACATGGCTAGCTAGGTCGATTCGTATTCCCTTGTACTCATATTTATATTGTTGTATTTGCATGTTTTTACTATCTCATGTCAAAGTATATTTGCTGTAGTCTTTGTAGGCTATAGTGGGGTAGATACTATGGGGTACAATACCTTTAGGTTTCATACTTGTACCCATCTCCTTCCTAGTCATTCCATTCCTCGTTATTTTCTCACATGGTATAGAGCATGTTCCCTAGTGGGACCGTTTTCCTAGGGCCCACCAATATCGATTTTTTTTTTCCTACCCTGCCCGAAGCGCGCTTCGCGCTCGGGCATTTCTTAGCGTGCCATCGCGCCCCTTAGCGGCCAGCCGCTGCTGCCCTCGGCGGCCGGCCATCGCGGCCCTTAGA